GAGGGGAGGGGAGGGAAACATTTGTAAAAGGGTTTTTTTTTCAAACTTTTCAATTAAAAAAACCCTCTATTATATTTTTTACAAAGGTAGACTTTTCAAGGCAACGTTCAAATTAAAATTTAGAATAGCAAAACATCCTATCCATTTACTACAGATACCAGTTACATAAAAGGCTTCAAAACTTGAGCAACTAAGAAGCCAAAATAAAAAGACAGCACTAAATTTTCAAAAATGAGGAAAACCAGCTCTGAACTGAAACAACTTTAAAGAATATTATGATATTTGTTCTAGGTAAAGGGATCCAGACTTTAACTGTCACTCCTGATTAGGCTGCCCCCTATCACACCCCTGTTAATATGCTCTTGTTGTTAATGTATTAGCTTCTGCTAATAATCTCAGGCATAAAAAGATTTATAGTGTAGCAAGCGATCCTTTAATTAACAGCAGGAAAAAAGCGTTTATCAATGTAGCATAATGTCTCTCTTTCAAACTGCTCGTTTTAAAAATTACACAATTTTCACACCATAATAACAGCTCACAGAGCTATTCCCAATTCTCACAAGGTTAATACGCAGTAAATCGGAATGAATTAAACAAACATAAAACAAAACTCAGAAATGCAGTCAAAATGAACCCTCTTTGGAAACAATCACTAGAGGAACTTTACTTAATTGTTCAAGAAATTACCCCTATTTAAGATATTGTTCACCCAAGGAATCTCATTTTAGGTCTATCATTAGCCCAAATTACTTGGCAAAAAGTTTATGTCTACTATCTGGCTGTATATCTAATAAATGAATGGGCAAAAAATCCATATGAGAGAAAAACATCCTCTTTCGTTTAAGCAAAATTAGGGAACTTGGAAAACTGCTCTTTATTCTATTATCATCCTAATTTCTTTAAACCTGTCATTTATTTATTTATATCCAATCTTTATTATGTTTTTACAAATAATTCAAGGTAGCAAACATTTCCTCCTATTTTCGAGCCGAGGTGGCGCAGTGGTTAGAGTGCAGCACTGCAGGCCTACAGAAGAGGTTCCAAAATTTTTTGAAACCCACCACTGGTCCTTGGATATGATTATTCTCCACTATCATGCTCCTA